GATTTTTTGTTCTAATAATCTGACAGTGAAGTATGATCTATGCTCAGGCAAATACTTTCATGCGTACGTTTGGTTCCTGTACAAATGAGGTAAAGTTGTTATTGTTTAAATCATATTGTACACTGTTGTATGCAGTCCACCTCTGGATTAATTACAAAAAAGCCAGTTTGTAAAGAGTGCAGGTGGCCTACAATGACGCTTTGCAGGTGGTTTTGAGGAGGCCACGATGGACGAGTGCGACAGAGATGTTTGTTATTGCACGAGTGAACACTTGCAAGCTGCACAAAGAATTTTAATGTAGAGTTTTATTTGCAGGCTGAACAAATCGGACAATGAAATAATAATGTCACTCACAAATATGAGATTCATTGCAATAAGAGATCAGTCTAACATGTGGAGACACTGGTATAGCTGTCTTTTAAAAGCATAAATGGTTGTTGTTTTGTAATGTCACTGTCTTTGTCTGTTTAAAAAATGGCCCATGAGTTCAAAATAAAGATGATAATGATGATGTCAGTGAAAAAGAAAGTTAATTTTCAATACAATACAATTTTCCAACCCACCCCAAAAGACTTAAGCTTTTTTTTAACAAAGTCACTCCTTTTTGCAGTAACAGTAGTACACATGAAAATCTGACAGATCCACAACTTTGATTTTCTTCGGTTCCGATTACAAGCTCACCAAACGACTGGGTGTGGTGTTTTTTGGGTTGTTAAAAAAAAGTGGGCGGTCCTGTTTAGGGGGGTTCTTGACTCTGATTGGTCGAGGCTGCCTTCTAAAACACCAATACCTGCGCCAGGTGGAGAAAAAAGTCCCAGAGTAGACAGGTAGCAGCCCGGTTGAAGTAGCTCATAGATGAATAGAAGGTGTAAGTTTTCGGATGACGGACATCGCAAGGATTCCGAAAGGTGTGTATGGAATTTTTTAGAGATAAAGTGTTTAGGATAGGATAGGATTGCTATTTGTATGTTATAATCAGCTTGGATGTTACTACACTGGGCAGTTCGTACATATTTATGGTTCAAAATCAAATTCTTGATTTTACTATTTTAGGATTGCTTTTACATCAACCTTATAAAGTATTGGGATTTCATTGCAATTCTAAGCGAATAAATAAGGAAAAAACAGGACAGAATCTTGGACTAAAGTTGGGGCTAAATCTGGTCTAAACAAGAATTTATCTAATCTTTTCTAAACCAGGACAAACCACCAAGCATAAAGTAGGTCTTAACACGGATTAAATGTAGCTCAAATCTCGAAATAAACCAGAACTAAACCCACTCTGAAGATTAAATTCAAAACTAGTGCATTTTAATTACCAAAACAACTCTCTAAAACACTAAATCTGCTCTTAAGTCACGATACCTCAACATATACTTTCGCCGTACTTTGTAACCATTGCATATAAGCTTTCCTATACCTCAAAAATGCACAAGAATGACTTTGAGTTGTCTTTTCCCATACAGAACTTTCCAATCTACAGTGATGACTAACAGAGGCTGTGCTGGGGCCTGTGATTGCATGCCAGAGCAGAGAGCAGCCTGGAGAGCCCTGCAGCTATACAGTCCTGGGCAGGTTTGGTCTCGCTCAACTCCAACTCAACAAACACAAAGAATCCAACTCCCACTTCACCCTGCAGCCTTAACCAAAGTAGTACCCGGCGTATAGTGAAAGTGGAGATATAAGGATTTGCTTAATGCGTGTTTTGGTGGTTTGAAAATTACTCGTTTTGTTTGGAAGAATGTTTAATGTTTTCTATCCTTCATTCCACCGGAGTCTGTATGTATCCCGAACCAGATTTCAGTGGCGTGAAGTTGAGAAGGCATTGATATGAGTCTGCTATAGATTTAACAGGTCTAAAGAGACGCAAATAGACGTATTTCCGTGGGGTTTGAAGAGTATTTATCCATAAAAGTATCGCACCGAAGGACAAAGTGGTAGGAATGGGAAAACAGGATGCAAAACGTGTAAGAAATACGAACATTTGCGCACTTAGCAATGACTAACACTGTACAAATAAAGTCCATGACCTCTTTGCTCTCGTCTTCCTGTGTTTTTTATTTCACTTTTGCAACATTTCAAATCATAACACAGCCATTATACCACCCACACCCAGGTTGCCTTGGTTCTCAGCCCTAGAGCGGAATAACAATTTTTTTTTTTTTTTCATTAGTCAACGCTGAGAGCCAGAGAGGCACCCACACAAGCAACCTTTTACTGTTTGGCAAATGAGACATATTAACAATTTAAAACATGCCCTCACTGGAACGCTGTAATGCCATTAAAACGTGGTGCTCGCTGTTTAGGAGAGGTGCATTTCACAATAAAAGTTAAACAAACACTATTAGAATACACTATAGGGATAAAAGTGTGAAAAAGTAGTTTGGGGCAAAGATAGGCCCACTGAGAATTTGAACACAGATGAGATTTGTTGGAGGTGGTGAAAAGTTCAACCGAAAGTGACTCAGGTGGTAGATTGGATTTACCTTATCTACAGGTCCAGGATGAGTAAAAAATAGAGCCGTTGCCATAGTGATTAACAACTGAAACTAAATATTACGTCTTTTGATGTCATATAAGGAAGTTGAATACCAGAGTCGGTGGCCTAATCCCAGCTTCAACCAGTGCTGTGCTGTTGTTGTGTCCTTTGGCACTTCACCTACCTGGCCTAAGTCCAAATTTGGTCACAGTACTAGTAGCGGTAGGAGTGGCACAGATTGGCAGCCATGTTTCTGTCAAGCTGCATAAAGGCAGCTGTGGCTAATGTTATTGCTGGAAAACTACTAAAACAATTCATGGCCTTTTTTGAAATGACTTTCAGAGGACTTCCCATTAAAAGGTACACTATCTAACTTTTTTTGTTGGAGAGTCTGCTGCCTACTTACACCTACAATATCCTAGTGCAGATGCTATTACTTTGGCTGAAATGTTCCACAGTATGGTGTGAAGCTTCTCTGTATGTATTGTATTCCATTGCTGTTCCATTCCATTCACTATTTTCTCTGAGAAGGCCATCCTCTCCACAGATCTGACCAGTTATTCAGCCTGATGGTATCTCCTGCTTGTTTTCATAGTTAATTTTACTGCTATACTGTGAAACATTCATTTTCATCACTCAAAAACTCATATAGAGATGAAGAGATGTAGGCTGTGTTCTAATTTCCACCTTTAACCCCTCATTTACCACATAGTCCTGCACTATTTGGTGGACTATATAGTTTCCACATCTCAGACAAAAAGCAAATAATCCAGTCCATTTGCATGAGATCCAAAGTGACAAAAACTTGTACGGTTATTATTAGTCCATAAACACTTGTGTGCCAGTCTGATCTGATCATTATGTATGATGGAAATCAAGTTTTATCAGAGATAGCTAAATAGTGCAGGACTATGTTAGGTTAGGGGCCAGGGTGGGACATTGGGACACAGTCATAAAGACATGGATACCAACATGTTAACCAACTGCCCATAAAGTATTCTTATGCTAATCCATTCTTGTACTAGTGTTGGAGGTCATGCACAACAATACTAGATCTCAGAGCGTGGGTTTATTACTGCAAGAGTCCAATAACAAACATGTCATAAGAGTTTCCGTAGCCGTGTCCCAATTCCAGGGCTGCAACCTTTGAAGGACGGATCCTTTGTCGGCTGAGAAGGATGCAGCCAAGCTTTGCCATCGGATTCAGCTGAAAATGAGGTTCACAGAGCATGTATATAATGGATCAATTAGAGGAATTGAATGAGGCATGATTCATTTGTAGCCATTATTATTACAGGAGTTTTCAATACAGCATACCCCATATCTGTTCAGTGGCAGAAGTCTAGATCAGCACACCTCCAGTGAAGTGTTAGTTTTATTTTGTCATCTGCATTTGACCCATTTCATGACCCATGTGCATCTCATCAGCACTAACAGTTCTGTGGCCCCAGCAGTGTGTTCTGTCACAAAGAACACAGGAGGCTGCAAATGAGAAAAGAGAATTAATATTTTTTTTTTAAACTAAGGGCTGGGCAAAAATAAAAAAAATTTATCGCGATTAATCACATGAGTTCAAGCGATTAATCACATGTTATACGCAAAACCAATTAATGAATTAAAAAGTAGAGTATAGCGCTCTTTTATTGGAAATGTAAATGAAAGAGCCATACATTTGTTGTGCAAACAGCATTTCTTTCACAGGGGAATCCTCAGAGCCTTCAAGGTGTTCAGGAAAGGCTCAAGAAAAAATATGGAATGGACATTTGTACTACTAATATATTTATTGAATATTTTTTATGCTGTGAATAATGAACACTACACTAGTAATAATTTCTAGATCAGTGTTATAAACTTGGACTGATATTTCTTAGGAAACAAAGGGTTAATATAATGGAATGGAAATGGACCAATCACATTTTTTCTTCCAATGGTATCTGTGTAAATCAGTGACTCCAGCACTGAACTAAAGAAATAAGCTCAGCTCAGAGCCGGTGCGCGCGGCTGAACCTGCAGCTGAGTCCGCGGCCGGAGCCGGAGCCCGCGACCAGAGCCCGTGACCAGAGTCAGAGCCCGCGGCCGAACTCGCGGCCGGAGCCGCGACGGGAGTCGGAGCTTGAAAAAAGTGAAAAAAGTTTAAAGAAAAGACGTCAAACTTAAAGAAACGCCAGTGAGAAACAGACGTTTACAATCAAATAAATAAATAAATAATAAAAACTGCGTTAACGGCGTTAAAATAATTGTCGGCGTTAATGACTTAATTAGTTAACGCAAAGTTAACGCGTTAACGTGCCCAGCCCTAATTTAAACACTTTTCTCATTGTTCCAAAATTAGTGATAGGCCTAACAAACACTGGTGCATGATGGGATATAGGAGGCTGCGAAAGGATACTCAGATGTGTCCTTCTTTCAAGGCAGATCTCCATGGAAACGCGGGCCACATTTGTCGACCGCATGGAATGGGCCAAGCCTCATAAGTGCAAGTGCTGGCAGTTAAGTTTTAAAGTAAACTTGGTTGGCTTATTTACATCTTTAAAAGTTTCACAGAATAATTTCAGAAAATAGCTGGCATGGAAGTGTGGATAGTGTGTGCCTTTGTGCTGCTGCTGAGTCCCTGCTCGAGGGCACAGGACACAGGTAAGCTGACACTCTTTGGTTAGATACTATATTCACTGCAGCTCTTAATTAGATTCAGATATAACATGGAGTTTGGAGGTGTTACTCTGCACGTTTTTTTTTTTTACAAATATTTGCCTCAGGTGTGATTTGTGCCCAGATAGAAAATGCTAATTGAGAGTGCACCAAGTCAGCACAAGGCTTAATGCAGTTGAACTTTAAGTAAAAATATCTAAAATGAGTCACCTCTACAACTCACGTCAAGTCAAATCCTGTCTGTATGTGCAACAGGGAAACTCTGCAGCTACTCCTGGGTTTCATTTTTGCCTTTTAAAGGAATTAATATTTTGTTTTAATCTGGTATAGAAAAATCTTTGAGCTAATGATACTGTCATCAACATTCTGTGGGGTTGTGAAGCTAACTGTAGGCACTGCTCTGTCTGAAGCTCTGTTACTCAAATTAAGACTTATTAGACTTAGAGTGATCTTTATTTTAACACAATCTGACCAGAAAGAACTGACTTAGCTGGAACTATGACAGATGAGCTGATTTCTGCTGTTAAACCAGTCTCTCATACATAAAATTACAGTTACATGCTAGTTAGCATTAGCCAACAGTTTTTTTCAAGTAGTCACTCTCACATTTTTGTTGAAAATCAAACACCTAAACATGACCACAAACACTTGTACCTGATCACAGGCTAATGAAATCATGTTGTCTAATCCATTTTGTGTTTTTTCTTGAGTTTTCAGATTATCTTAAAACTTTTTTGACTGTGTTTGCTAAAGTGTGCGTTGTGACTCCATTGCAACTGATGTTGAACACCCCCAGAGATATGTCACTGCAAAGTATCAATATTCTAAGTATCATGATTAAGGCTGTAACGATATCCAAATCTCATGGTACGATATTTATTGTGATGTTTTGTGGAGGCCAAACAGCTAAAACTGCTAATATGCTATTTTTCCTCTTGACAAGACTTAATCTAAAGAACTAAGACTTAAAAGTGCTTAGAACTGTTATTTCTTTATGTAGTCTACACTGAAATGGAGCAAAGGATCATGGTCTATGTAGTTCCCTCTGGCTTTTTTTTAGCTATTGCTGCACCATAACTCTTCATTTAAGCAAAGAGACTTGTAATTCAATATATTGTGATGGTCTACAATATTTTTGTGAGAACTTTAAAGATACGCAGATACTTTAAAGATATTTCAATTATTGTTTCATCTCTAATCAATATTCATTACTTCAACTTCCAAATAAATTTTAATTATAAAAAAAATAGATATAATAATAATAACTAAAATTAATTAACTTAAATAATAACTAAAACTGATAGGTGACCAATGACCTCTTTCATTCCCATGCAAACAAAATAATGTGATTGCTTGCTCATGTTTGAATCTAGTTCTGATTCAGAGAGATATCAATTGCATTTGTCAGGCAAAACTCATATATTTATATTATGGAGTGTACAGACATGTGCATACCTGAATCTGCCTCTTCCTGGTGCAGTGGCTGAGGACATAGGCACCCATCAGCTGGAGCGCCTGGTGAAGCTGCTGACACTGAAGGAGTGCGAGGACTTGGTGGTTGCACTGTCAAGTCCAGAGGAAGACATCTTCAAACGACTGGAGCGTCTGGCCCCAGAGAATAACCAGCTCAGACTGCAGCCTCTGAACAAGAGAGCACTGCTGTCCTCTGCCCAGGGTACAGCAGCACTGACGAGCTATAGGCCTGTGTACAGTCAGAATATATGTGTACTAACGTGTGTTGTTTCAGAGATTGAGGACGAGTGCAGGAAAGCTCTGACTGACTGGTTAGTGGAGAATGGAAAGGAGATCTACTATGACAGGCTGACCAGGGCTTTGCAGCACATTGGGAGAACTGATGTGGCCGTTGGTGAGGAAAAACTTTGAACATGTTTTCATATTTACAAATTTTCACATTTTATCACATTCACCGTTGTGGCACCAGCTGTCATTCATAAAGAAAACATGAATCAAGTCTCTTGGTTCTAAAGTCACTTTGTTCTGAGCACTTAGAAAAGCACGTCTCAATATTTGGTTTGATATACACTATCCAAAAGTTTTAGAGCACCCCAACTTTTCCAGTTATTTATTGCAATTCAAGTCATGCAAGTCCAATGAATAGCTTGAAATGGTACAAAGGTAAGAACTAGGTATGTAACAATAACCAAAATATCATGATATTGTATTGTCAAAGTTCTCACAATAATATCGTGGACCATCACAATATATCAAATTACAAGTCTCTTTGCATAAATTAAGAGTTATGGTGCAGCAATAGCTAAAAAAAATACAGAGGGAACTACATAGACCATGATCCTTTGCTCCATTTCAGTGTAGACTACATGAAGAAATAACAGTTCTAAGCACTTTTAAGTCTTAGTTCTTTGGATTAAGCCTTGTCAAGGCATTTTAAGAGGAAAATGTAGAATATTAACAGTTCTGTTAGCCTCCACAAAATATTGCAATAAATATCGTACCATGAAATGTACAGTATATCATGAAAATATCGTACAGAGAGATTTGGATATTGTTACATACCTAATCATGAGTCTCCCCAACATATCGTGAGCTTTACCGTGAGGTTCATACCGTGACAATATCCTTTCGTGAGACTTGGATATAGTTACACTCCTAGTAAAAAAGACAAAAAATACAAAACAGAAGTCCAAGCTCTGCCAAAACTACCTCAGAAAAAAAGACAAGATGGTGAGCTTGAAAACATGAAGTGTCCAGCACAGTCTCCAGACTTAAACCCCATCGAGCTGGTTTGGGATGAACTGGACAGAAGAGTGAAGCAACCTACAAGTGCCACACATTTATGAGAACTTCTGCAACAGACTTGGGAAGAACTTTCTGAAGAATATTTGATTTCTATTGTAAAAAGAGTGAGCCACAAGTGGTTCAGCTGTTATATCTGCCAAAGGTGGACACTTTCATGAATTAAAAGTTTAGAATACATTTTGGTCAACAGTAAACAGTAAAAAACTGGGAAAAGGGTGGTGTTCTAAAACTTTTGACCAGTAGTGTGTGAGCTTTTTGGCTGCTTTTAGTTTATTTTACATTTGTTTCTACTGTTGCCAGCAGAGGGCACTCTTGTTACAAGTAATTTCCAACCTACACGTTTTCTTTAATGTGAAATGCCAATGTGGTCAAAAGCACGTTTAAAGCCAAAAAGTAATGTTTGATACATCTACACAACTATGGGCAGAACATTGATTGCATATATTCTGCAAAAGATGAACCAACATTAAAACAGTACCAAGTAACATTCCTGGTATGGATGACAAACTTTGGAACATTCTTTACAGAGATAGATGAAATCATTTCCAAACAAAGTTGAACAAGCCATCAATTACTCCAACAAACTTCCTCTCAAAACGACTTCATTACGAGAGCCTTGAACAACAGTGCGTAATTGCTTCATTAGCCTGAGATTTGGTTATAATTGGCTCTTGTGAGGAGGGTGGTGATTTGCGTGTTGCCAGTTTGGGTGGCATGTGTGAGTCCACTCCACAGCCCGGTGCCGGTGGAGAGCTGAGGTGTAAATGATCTGACAGAGCCTCAGTGGAGATGACAGCAGCCACAGAGCTAACCATCTGCTCCTCTCATCAGCGCCTTCACAGCACAACACAGACCAAGAGAAGACACACAGCAAACAGGAGCTCTGAGGAACCGGCTAGAGCCACCAACTACACCAATTAACACGCACTTGATCAGATTTCTCAAGAGGTCTGTGCAAAACTGTGTGGCTCGGTTTGTTTTATTGTAATATAAAGGAGACCACTTCATTCACTTTGAGTAGAGTGTTCTCACAATACTAAAATAGCAAAGCTCTGATATCGATACTACAGAAAGAGCATTACTTGACAGCAGATGGCAATTTTGATACCACAACATACAACATACTTTTCAGAATGGATTTTTCAGCACACAATATTTGTAGTTTCTCAAAGGGCCCATGTTACGCTATTTTCTGATCTAGGTTATAATGTTGTTTCCTCATCACAAACATACCTGGAGTTGTGTTTTGTTTCATTCACACATATTTAGTCTGAATTCTTGTCCAAAACAGAAAACATTCAGTTCCACCTTGTGATGTCATGTGGTAATACAGGAAGTGCTCCGCTGTGTATTTAAACTCCACTACATTCACTAGAATCCTTTGATACTTTCAGCCTTGGAAATTCCAATCTCTTCTGAACTAAGGTCCTGTCCACAGTATGTATTCGAGTCGTTTTTGTTGTGGATGCAGTGTTTGTCCACACTAATCCGATGGAAAACGTCTCCAGAGACGGAACAATCCAGTGCCGCCAGTTCCCACAAATTAATCTGGGTATGAATCTGATCCAGCACTGCGTGGAAGCCTGAAAACTTTGATACGCTGGCATAGGTCTATGCGCCGCAAAGTAATTCACTGCCAAAATGCAAAGAGGCTAGAATATATGTCCATTCATATGTACGGTCTAAGTGTACGACCTGCAGACGTATAATCTCTGAAAAGTTTAACATGAACCATCTCCAACATGATAGAAGCACAGAACAGACTCACTATCAGCAGAACATCCCTCTGTCACAGAAGCTGAACCACATCAGTGCACAAGGAGCGAGTTGTTTTTTGAGTTTGAGTTTATGCAAATTAGCCATGCGGTTTTAAGTTTCGTTTCTGTAAAACGTAAACAAATATGCACAAAGCTGTGTGGATAGGGAAGGCTTGCGAACAGAGAAACGACATGTCTGGACGCAAATCATTTTTGATACGGTGATACGGTGATTCTTTTCAGTGTAAACGTAACCTAAAGGTGGATAGCTGTTAACATGAACACTAGCGCTGCATTACATCACAAGGTGGAACAGAGCATTTTGAGCTTTGGAGATGTAGACAGACTAATAATAAATGATTACTCAAATGTGTGAATGAAAAAAAACACAACTCCAGGTATGTTTTTGATGAAGTAACAACATTCTAATATGACTTAAAGCTCACAAGAGTTAATTTAACATAACATAGGACATTTACATATTACCATGTTTAGGTTCAGTTGTGTCCTATTTATTATTTCATTCAGTATTGATTATTGTTCTAATGAGTATCTAGGTATAGATTTTTTACAAGCCTATTTTAAGGATAGGTTATGTTTCTGTTTCATATGTTTTTATTCATGTGCAAACAGATATAGATATGTCATTCAAACAACACATGTACACACACGTTTTTCATTTTTATGCATAAAACGTATAAACTAAATATTTACAGTGCCCTATGCCATGGCGCTTTAACTTTGTGTTCAGGGATGCCCGATCTTACATTTTAATGATCAAGCTGGTACAACTAAATCCTAAAATCTGCAGGCAGTAGAGATTTGTGTGTTGGCACTGAAAGAGCACTTAAATGAATGCACATTTTATATCCTGTCTATTCTCACAAGAAAAAAAATACAATGTACAACCTCCAAAATTTGCAAGTGACTTTCCAAAATGATTCTGACTTGACAATTGTTTTGTGCCAATATTAACCTCTCAACTTTTTTTTTGTGATTTTAAAGCCATGTTATAATGTTACCTCCTCAAAAACAGACCTGGAGTTGTGTTTCATTTACACGTTTGAGTTCTGCTTTGTTATTAGTCTGGCTACATCTCCAAGGCTCAAAATGCACACCTTGTGATGTCATGAAGTGATAGTTTTCAAATTAACCGTGTATCATTCATTCATTCGTTTTTTTCTAAATAAAACCAAAAATAAGGAAATGAAAAAAACAACTATTTTCTTCATTATTTGTCTCCAAAACCAAAATGAAAAAGTTGATAACAATAGTTTTTTTCAGTTTTCAATTTTGTGTTTAAATGAAGAATGGAAAAAACAGATAACGGATGTTTCCTGTTTCCGTGACTTAAACTGCGATGCCAGACTTCTACACCACATATGGACTGAACCAGGTCTAAACCAGGATCTCAGTCCCGGTCTGGTACCGGTCTCAGTCCTGGTCTGGCCCCGGTCTCAGTATCGGTCTGGTCCCGGTCTAGTCCTGGTCTCAGTCCTGATCACCCGACACTCAGTCCTGTTTTAGATCTGGTTCAGTCCTGGTTCAGTATGCAACACAAAAGACCGGCATCGCAGTTTAAGTCACAGGAAACAGCCGTTATCCGTTTTTTCCATTATTCATTTAAACACAAAATCAAAAACTGAAAAAACAAGCCGTTATCCATTTTCTCATTTTGGTTTTGGAGACAAATAATAAAGAAAAAAGTAGGGTTTTTTTTGTTTTCTTATTTTTGGTTTTATTTTGAAAAACAGTGAACGAATGATACATGGATTTTTTTACCTTTGGTTCAGTAGACATTGGCAATTCCAGGGCTGAAATTATGAGTGAAGTGAAGCTAGTGAAGGTATATGGAGTTTAAAATAACAGTGAAGCACTTCCTGTATTTCCACATGACATCACAAAGTGGAACAGAGTTTTCCGTTTGAGAGAAAAACTTTGCCTAATTATGCAGTGTCTGTGTTAAACATGTGTGAAAGAAACAAAACACAGCTCCAGGTCTGTTTGTCATGAGGAAACAACATTAGAATACAGAAAATCAGAAAATAGCATAATGTTTGACTCCAATGTTGTGTTTATGTTTTCACAGAAGTGGGAAAGAACATAAACCAGGATATGTCCCTGAGCCTGAGGCGTTATGTCGAGGACTATCATAAAATCGTGAGCTCTTTCAGCGTACCAGAGGAGCCGGCCCAAGCAACGAACAAGAGAGTCAGGAGAATCAAAGGTCAAATTTTGAACAATGTGTTTTTAAGATATTTGACGTCACAAATCAAAAAGTGTACTCATCTTCCCTAAAGACATAAATTATCAAATCATTTTTTACCAAAAGTATAAACTATAGTTTATAACTATAAACTATACTAAAACTATTAACTATTAAAACTATTTAAAGGTATACTGCTTGTCTTCATTGTGATGCTAATGTGTTGCCTCGAATGTTCCACAGTATGTCATTAAATTACATAGACCCACTAGAGAAGTTATATTTGTTCTAATGTTGTTTCCTCATCACAAACATACCTGGAGTTGTGTTTTGTTTCATTCATATTTAACACATAAAACTTGCATATTTAGGTTGAGTTCTTCTCTCAAACAGAAAACACTCCACCTTGTGATGTCATGTGATGATACAGAAAGTGCTCCATTGTGTTTTTAAACCCCATACACCTTCACTAGAATCATTTGGATCATTTCAGACCTGGAATTGCCAAGTGAACAAAAGGTAAAAGGTAACTGTTAACTTGAAAAGTATTGCTTCATGACATTACAAGGTGGAACTGAGCATTTTGAGCTTTGGAGATGTAATAATAAAGGATTACTCAAACATGTGTGAATGAAACAAAACACTCAAAACTCCAGGTATGTTTTTTGACGATTCTTGAATTGTAATCTTTTTTTCCATTTGATTATTTTATGCTGATCCATATCAAATAATTTACATTTAACACAAAATATTCACATGTATTTAAAGGTGCATTGTGTAACTTTTCTGTTGAAGGGTCCATCAAATGATTTTTCCATGGACATGTTGCATTACTTTGTCTGGAATGTTTCATAGTATGGTATTAAACCTTTCTGTTTTCATGGAGACCAAAGCAGACCAAGCTACAGGTCAGATCTGTGGAAAGGCAACCCCGCTTACAGTAGAATGCCTGTTATTCTAAGGCTACATATGATGATGGTCTGAACAGAAAACACAAAAGTGGCGGCGTGTCTTCACTTTTTATTCCGCGCTTAGACAGGCTTTTCGGGAGGAAATCTGCGTGCATACGGTGACGCAAAGGTGTGTGGAATTCGATTGGGTTTACATGCCAGGCAGCTGAGTGGTGACACTAGGTGGTGATGTATGTGACGTAAACATGTACATGACGTGAGCAGATCTGACCAGAGTTCTGCGTCTTGGGCAGTGTAGACGGAAATGCTACGGTGGAGTGTATTCAACTTGTACACTCTGGACGGCAGTTTCAGATGTTTGCGTTTTTAAGCCACAAAAACGTCGTCACCGTCTAAATGAAAGGCACTTCTGATAAAATATTTTGTCATTTACCCACAAGCGTTCTTGTGTAAACAGGCCCTAAGTATTTTTGAAGCTGTAAAACCCTCTCTAATTGAATAAATGTAATGTAGAGCTGTTTAATGTCACTGGAACATTCTAGGTAGAGCAATGACATATCCATAGAAAGAAGTAGGTGATGGACCCCCAAACAAAGTGCATCTTTAAATGAGGTCAACATATTTAGATACACTGGCAAGCTTATTTCCCAAGAGAGTATCTTAGACCTCTGACCTCCATCTGACTTTGGACAAATTCAAGAATATCAAATCTGTTCGAATCCTCACAGTTCTGGAGTCGTGGGAGGGGCTGGTTGGGTTCTCCCTGTGGACTCACTCTCAATGACAAAGCGTGCCACGATTCCACTGATCCTTAAATCTATTAAGTGTTTGACGAGATGCCAGGCCGTGGGCACGCTGCCAGCTCATTACAACATCAACGCTCTCCCTTCACAAAGAATTTCCCAAGAGGATGCAAAAATCAAAATGTAATTATCACCTGGTCATTTGAGCTGCATGCTGGTTGCCATGAGCTAATTTGAACAAAATAATCTGTTGTGCTTTGTGTGTTTAGGCTTGGACAATTTTAGTTATTGTCATTATTAGAGCTGCACTGCAAAAATGTGTGTGTAAATTCAAATTACTCCAATTAATTCTGATCTATGTTATAATGTTGTTTCCTCATCGCAAACGTACCTGGAGTTGTGTTTTGTTTCATTCACATATTTAACACACAAATCCTGCATATTTAGGCTGAGTTCTTCTCTTAAACAGACAACGCTCCACTCACAGTGGAGCACTTCCTGTATTACCACGTGACATCACAAGGTAGAACAGAGTGTTTTCAGTTTGAGAGAAGAGCACAGCCTAAGAGCCTGTTTACATGAGAACGCCTGCGGGTAAAAACGACAAAATATTTTTCGTTTAGACAGTGACAGCATTTTGGGGGCTTAAAGGGACAGTTCAGAATTTTAGACATAGGGCCTCATTTCCTCTTGAACCAAAGTGTTGGAGATGTGTGGAGTGGAGACTTTTTTTTTAAATTCCATCCAGTCCTTGTATTTGCAGAGGTCACTGGGGCTAGTGCATGTCAATGACCTTAATTAGCCTGCCACTAAAAACAGTCTTACCCACTCCACAAAACACCTGAAGCAGATCTATTATTATGCCAGACTGTCGATGTGAATGTCTGTGTTGATAGAAATATGTTTGAAATATAACTAACCTTGTATCACATGAATTGTCATATGTTGAGGGACTATTTTCTCATATATCAGTCCGCCACTGCCAAGCTTTCTATCAGGAAGTACAACTCACTGCTGCTGCTGCTCAGACATAAATCCTTCAAATGCAAGGTTGGTTTTACTTCTAAAATTATTCTATCGACACAGACATTCACATGGACAGTCTGGTGTAATAATAGATTTGCTTCGGGTGTTTTGTGGAGTGGGTAAGACTGTTTTTAGTGGCAGGCTAACTATGGCCATTGACATGCACTAGCCTAGCACCAGTGACCTTTGCAAATACAAGGACTGGATGGAATATTTTTATTTCCAACACTCTGGCTCACAAGAAAATTAAGTCATATGTCTAAAATTCTAAACTGTCCCTTTAAAAACACAAAAATCTGAAAGTGCCATCCAGAGTGGAAAAGTTGAATACGCTCCGCTGTAGCGTTTCTGTCTACACTGCCCAAGACACAAAACTGTGGTCAGATCTGCTCACATCGTACATGCGTTTATGTCACATATATCACCACCTAGCCGCCTTGCATGCATACTCCTGAAAACACTCATCTAAACGCGGAATAAAAAGCGAGGATGCGACGCCACTTTTGCGTCTTCTGTTCAGACCATCATCATATAAACGTAGCCTAAATATGCAGGATTTGTGTGTTAAACAAGTGTGAATGAAACAAAACACAATGAGGAAACAACATTACAACATAGATAAGAAAATTGTAATATCGGCTCTCTAAAAACATGCTGAAGGTAATGAAAGATTTCTGCAGATATAAGACTAGACTGAAATAGCTTTTAGTTAAAACAGTTATTTAACCTTAGCACGAATTATAATGATACCTGTGTCACTCTTTGTGTTTTTCAGTGAGTGATCTGAGCGAGAAAGACTTGGATGTGATCGTGGAGAGAGCGCCAGTGCCTCCGTACAGTAAGGGCCCTCTGGATGGATTGGGGCCCTTGCTCTGGAGCATCCTGCTGGGGTTCTGTGTGACAGGACTTGTGATCTTCTGCCCGATCATGTACCTTTTGAATGCTAGGCAGGTTAGTCTAGCCATGGACGATGTTTAAGTGCAGGACTAGTTCATTCATCAACATCAGAACAGGTTATTGCTTTAAAGAGAAATGTGCATAGCTATATTCAATAAACAAAATCTTCTTAAAGGTACACTGTGTAACTTTTCGAATCTTCTAGGTAAGCTGGTTGTAACTGGGTGGTTAGCAGGGACTAGTTATTTTCGTCCTACTGTAGGGCGTCCGCAAATGCATCCTCCTGTGCGTTGCTGTGCATGGCTCCCGTTGTCACTGTTTACCAATTAGAAAAGGGTGTGCATGCTGTAGGGTGGCAGACAGGGCTTTCGGTGGCTAGTTAAAGCGGCGCATGTCAATAAGTAAGTTGTTTCTCTCTCAATATTTTTAGATTTTGCTTAAATGCAACGTTTCTGGTTACTGGTACTACCTTAAAGGTTGTATGGAGGATTTTTTTTTGTTTCAAGTTGTCAATGATAGCATTATAGAGGTGCAGTAGCCTTGTAATTATGATGACCAAAAAAAAGAGAATAAAAATTCATCAACTCTGGACGTGGGGCCAGCTAAACATTTGCCAATAGATAACGACACTGCCTCGTTATCTGTTAGCTGACAGGCTGTCAATCAATCTCCCTACGTTTCTAGCGTAACTGACTTGCCTGCGCGCCGCCGGTACGTGGTTTACGTACGCCTGTCACGCAGTCCACAGACGCAAGCCGCACAGACGCTGTTTACTCCACCAACGCAACAGTTCTTAGCGGCTTTTTTGACCTATATCTTCCTCGCAGTTCGCACAAAGTTTGTTGCAATGGCAGACAAGAATCCAGGAGCAGTTTGCCGCAAAAGAAAGTCCGTTTTTGAGGTCGCTGAAAGAAGAAGACAAGGGGAAAAGCAGCGAAGCCAAACTAAGGTGATTCTTGAAGATTCATTCCAGCGATGGCGCGACTGAAGCAGACGCAGGGTCTAAAGACTGACGCATTGGTCGCCAAATTACTCCTGGACAGGTCACTTCTGCTTATTATGAAAACGTACTTTATTTCCAAGAGCTAGTCAAACGTTTTTCAGGACACGAAAGCGATATCCTATGTCTGAAAACGTAATTTTCAAGGCAAAGAAAGAGTCCGCTTGCTGCTGCGTGTTGTAGCTAGTTCATTCGCACTGAATCTCCGCGCACTCTTCTCTGCACCCCTTTCCTGCTCCTGTCCCCGCTGCCCGTTCCGCTCTTCCCCTGCTCCTCACTTCTCAGGGCACTGAATCTCCGTGCACCACTCCCCTCTCCCCTCTCCTCTCCCTGCTCCCTGCTCCGCTCTTCTCCCTGCTCCTCACTTCTCGTCTGCGAACGAAATGTCTGCGCACCCGCTCCCCCCGCTCCTCACTTCTCCGTCCTTGCCTAACCAACACTGTAGTTAGTTGTTTACAAGTCATGTGCAGCGCACCGGCTGTAAACAAACCTGTTTCTGGCGTAAAGAGGAGGCGGGAGAAGGCGTTTCTACGTAGGGAGCTGTAGGGGAGGGGGGTGGTTTCACACATGCGCAACATTTGAAAAAGGACAAACAGTCGCTGGATTTCTCGTTCCTTGGAAAATCCTCTATACAACCTTTAACTCTTTCCCCCCTGGACACCTACTAGGAACAACCCATACATATGTTACTAGGGCTACCCATAGAGCATAATTGCATAAAAGAAAACAGACTTCCACGAGTGATTTCAGGGCAATTTTGGTTCATAATCGAGTATAAAGCCCGGATAGTTTGTTCGGATATCGCAGGACTCCATACAGACGCATCAGGGCATTCTCATCTTCGTAAGATTCACTCTCTGAAAGTCCGTCGCTGTCGCTGTTTTCCACTTTATAATCACCCTCATCATCACTTTGAAATCTATAAAAGTCACTTTCTCTAAACTTATCCATAAAATACGTCCGCTCCTCATTATTTCTAAAACTGTGCGCCGCAACGAGATCTTTCCATTACACGTGTTTCGTGTTGTGTTTTTTCCGGAAGCTACCATCGTCACTACTTCGATTAACTTCGGAAAAAATCGACGAAAACATATCCTTGAATCCTAATGGTCAGCCTAGTGTGAGTTGTAGTGGCCCCGACCTATCACAGTCTCTGTTTAAATGTGAAAAACCGAGCCATTTCTCGAGGTCGTCAAATCACTTCTTTAGTGATACAGCGGAGGTGTCAAAAGTCGTCATTAAGGGTACAGGGGGGGTCGTCAAATGTCGTCTTCATGGGGGAAAGAGTTAAAGGTGTTATCTGGAGCAGGCAGTGGTGACGGCGGCTTCTCCTAACGCGCTCCAGGCCCCGTGTAGGGTGCCCTCCATCTAGAATATAGGTAGAGGCTCTTGGTGGTGTACATTTGGGGTGGTGGTGTTTGATGTGCATTTTTATGTGGCAGATTACGCTGCTGTTGCATTACTAATTTTGTTTTTTGTGTGTGATTTAGTTTAGCTGAATCCCATAATTTTGTTCCAATTTGTGTTAAATTTGTACTTTTTAAAAAATGTGTAAAATGAACTTTTTTAAAATATTACTGCTAACTAAATGAAGAATTCTATTGTTTTCACTATTTAATGCCTTTGTTCTAAGTTTTGGCCAGACTTGCCTGCGTTATAATTAAATACATTGGTGTCTGCAACATTGTTGAGTAAAATCTTTTTAGATAGTCTGAAACTCAAGAAAAAAATGATTTAGCCAACACAATAGTCAACAAAAATGTGAGGGATTGAGTGAAAAACTGCTGGCTAATGTTATCTGAGAGGGATTTGTTTAAGCACACAAGATCACCTCACCTGTTGTAGTTCAAGATAAGTCAGTTCTTTGTGTTAAAATAAAGCTCAGTCTTAACGCTGCTTTCAGACCAAGCTTGATTGTAGTTTTTGCAGTGCAGATAGAGCAGTGTCTACAGTTAGCGTCACACCACCAAGTAATGTTGACGATATTAGCTGCAAAGTATCAATGGAATTAGAATAATGCTTCTTACCATCGTCAGTGTCAGAGATGAACCAAGGATATTGCTTTGGTCATTTGGTCCAACACTGACACCACATTATCCTGACCAATTTACAAAATATTCTTCAAAGTACGATGTAACTTCTCTTATTATCTTCGCGACAAAGCAATGAGAACTTCCTGAAACACATTCTGTCCTTTGCCCACCCAAAACACAACAAATGACCCCACAATGACTTAATTCATCAACATTAAAAGCAGTGGTAGAAAGTAACACAGTACAAAAAAAAAAAAAAAAATCCTAAAGTAAAATTTTTAGGTATCTGTATGTTATGTAACTACATTTTACAGTGGATACTTTTTACTTTTTCTTTACTACATTTGAGAGCAGATATCTGAACTTTCTACTTCACTACATTTTAGATCTGGACTGAAAAATAAAAGTATCTTTCTTTATGATTTGAGACCTGTTGAAAAAGCAGATCATTTAATTTAATTAGTTAATGTTTCAACTTTGAGCAAACTAGACACAAAAACAGCTAGAAAAATTTTTAAAAAATCATTACAATCAGTTAAAATCTGGTGAATTCTATATCAAATTCACTACATTTGATGCTTTAATAATTGTAAAAATCTTTGCAACATGTTAGGTTTTCAACTTTTTGGTCTCAAAGTACAATTTTAAACAGGTACTTTAATACTTTTACTTAAATTCATTTTTTCATGTGATACTTTCACTTTTACTTAATCTTTTGCCCCTGTATCAATACAACAAATATCTTGCAGAAAGTGCAGGTAGTGAAATAAACAAAACATTTTTAAAGGTGCATTCTGTCTCTGAGACAAGCAGCTCTTGAATTGATTAAAATCAGGATGTTATTCTGTCTTTTACCCACACACAACAAAGAAACATGACATGAATACCAGTGCTTCAGATCAAGTGATTATCCACACTGCGTTCCAATGGAGAGGACCCATGGGTGCAATGGGGTGTTGCCTCGCGGTGACAGATGCGCTGGAACCAAAGCTTTTCCGGTGTCACTGTGATTCTGATGCTTCTTCCATTTCCCTCCTGGTGACGGCAGTGTGCCCGCCTGGCATTGACCACAGATAATGATCCAGACTGGCACAGGCACTAGTAGCCCCCCCCCCCCTCGCTGCCCGGGCCCCTGCAGTCCGGGCCTCTGCTGCCCGGGCCCCTGCAGCACGTCCAAGAGGCTAATAACAGAACAATGCAGAAACAGTGGAGCTCGTGCTTCTGATGGCAGCTGCTGGATTCAGACAGAGCCAAACACAACGGCAACAATGCAGTTTTCTGAAGATGGGAATGGTCTTGATACTTTGCAGCTGATGCCAGTAACATTTCCTTTGGGTGTGATGCTAACTGGCGGTACTAATCTGTCTGAAGCTCTGTTACTGATGCTCCTAAGATGTCTCTCACGCATAACATTACAATCACAGGCTGCAAACTATTCCAAAAATATTCCACATTGTAGATTATAGTTTAAATGTTTTTGTTAAAAACGCTGCATCAGATTTTTACTGTTTTTTTAGTGTCTTACAAATTTGAAAAACCTCTTAAATAAAAAGAGAATAATAATATGCTTTGTGTGTTTAGGCTTGGACAATTTTAGTTATTGTCATTATTAGAGCTTCACTGCAAAAATGTGTGTGTAAATTCAAATTACTCCAGTTAAGAACATTTAAAGGGCCTGTTTTTTTCTGTTTTCTGATCTATGTTACAATGTTGTTTTCTCATCGCAAACATATCTGGAGTCGTGTTTCACTTTCATTCACATATTTAACACACAAAACCTGCATATTTAGGCTGAGTTCTTCTCTTAAACAGACAGCACGCCACTCACAGTGGAGCACTTCCTGTATTACCACATGACATCACCAGGTAGAACAGAGTGTTGTCTTAAATATCTTAAAGTCTTAAAATGTGAAAAACCTCTTCAATGAAAAGAGAAAAATAATCCTAAATGATTTGAAGTGGTGCAAAGTTATTCCTCACTTCGCTTATGCATTCGGAGCTTCCTAATTATTCACAGAGATGAGCTTATAAGAGCTTTCACAACTTTC